TGTACCCCTCTCAAGGACCCCGCCGACATCACGGCGATTCTTTCGGGACACTGTTTTGTCGCAATTACCGCGTAACGACCGAGCGAACGGGAGCGGCCGACCTACATCCCCCTCCAATTCCCTTTCTCCCCTTGTCCTTCGTCCCTGTTATTATTCTTATCTGGTCGCGTTTGTCTCCCTGCGATAAAGAGAGTGTTTTCGTTTGTCGTTTCTCGCCGTCCGTGGATCCACCACTCGAGAGAGACTGCTTTCGCCTTCGTCCCTCTCTGTCTTTCTCACGCGCCCGCGGAGACGCTCGTCGCGATTCCAGTTTCATCCTCGTCGTCGAACGGACGTCTCTCGCGTTCGACAATTGTTTTGGGATCACCTCGCGTGATCAGAGAAAATAACACCTGAGCTCCGCGGATTATTCTCTCGGATAGACCGACCGGTCTTAACGATGTTCCCTCCTTCCACAGAGCCGAGTTACATCGTTCGACACGGTATTCTTGATTTCTTTCTTATTTAGTACGATCCCGAGGTTGCCGATCTGTACGTACAAGTCCGCTGCCGTGAAAGAAACGCGCGCGCATCGTAATCGGTTTTGCGCGCTTTCCGCGAGATTGGATTGGGTCTTATGATAACAGAAGACATCGTCGTTCGCTATTGCTTCGCTAATCGAACGATTCGAATCGCGACGGTTCTGCGGTTGTCAGTCTCTCCGCGTGGCTTTTGTGTATAGAGGGTCTTGAAAGACCCGTCGCAACTGTGCGCGCTCGGCCCGCTCGACCGATCGATAGATCTCACTCGCGCGAGTCCAAGTAGCGACCCACATCTCTGGAGAAATTCCGCTTCGCCAATTGAATTTTATTCTCGAGTTCGCCTGTTCGCCGCTCCGAGTTGAAACTTGAAACGGATGGGATCGTAAGTTACACGTATCGTAGCGTAGCGTCGCGCAGCCTGGCGGCCGCGTGACGACGGCTGTTGGTTAAATTAACCGCGGCTAAACAGAACATCGTTTCCCACTCTGCAACGTATTTCATTTTTCATTTTGTGATGATTTTATTTTTATAAAGTGAATAGTGCGTTAAGCAGTTCCTCAAATCACGTGACTGGCTGCATTCGGACGTTGCGCCGACTTCCATTCGGAGACTCGGTTATTAACGTACGTCACGTTGAAGGTGAGATTTTGATTGAATTCGCCGGCTTCGCGTGAAACACACACGCGCGCTCGCGTTTATTCGGTCCCACGTTCGAAATAACAGAAACTCGCCTCATCCTCGTGTCGAAACTTGTCTCACACTTGTGAGATGCTCGGTTCTGAATTTAGAATTAGATTTCAGCTTTTTGTTTGAATCGTACAGAGATTTGTTGCCCAAATAAGCATTTCGTTTGAATCAACTAAACCTTTCTCAGTGTTTCTTGGAGGTCTGGTCGAAAAGACGCGGAAAGGACGAACCGCGTCCCGACCTGGGAATTAACGGGTCAATTTCGGGGTCGAAGGGTCACCGGCGAGTGTCAGATCGGAATGAGCGATCGTCGCGCGTGGCCCGAGCGGCTCGCCTTGGCCAACGTCCGGAAAGATTCGGCGATTTCTGGTCGCGGAGACACGCTCATGGAGACGGTGAACGGGAAGAACGCGCCGTTCGCATTGTCCGAGCGTATTCGACGAGCGTACGCGAGGCGTACACCGAGGGACTCCGCTTCTGTGTTCGCGGTGATTTACGGAGCGCGCGAGAGCTCCCCGCATGTTATACATTTTGCGTTCGCGCGGGCACACGTGAGCAGCACGACGACGAGGATGACGGCGATCGCATCCGAGAACGTCCGCGCGCCGCATCGTCCGTCCATAATTCACATCGCCGCGTGGGAAGCGCCGGCAGAATTCTCATCAGGTTCCCGTGGATGCTTCCCGGTGTGACGAATTTCGATTGTTAACTCTCTCTCTCTCTTTTTCTCTCTCTCTCTCTCTCTCTCTCTCTCTCTCTCACGTGGTACGTCGCCCAGGTGATATCTATGTGTCCGACCGACATTAGCGCAATATGAAATTATTTCGATTTCGACGTACGTAAGAGAGCAGAACGTTTATTCGCCCGTCTCACCTTAGATGCGGAGAAATCAAATTTGCTAGAACAGTAAATTGTTTGTTAATATAGGAGAGCAAAAGAAATTTATTTCGACTCCGAAATCGCTTCTCATTTCTCTTGGAATATCAAATTAAATTTATATACCTTTGCCATCCAAAATTAAATGACTTCGTTTGCGTTTTAATATTATCTTCACGAGAAACAGAAAACCTGTAGAAAGGAGTGTACATGAAATATTTTCAAGAAACATTTTCGCTGTTATAACTTGGCCCGTCTTATGAATACAGTTTGCCCGGCTAAGGGTTAAGTAGTTCTTCGAATCACACGACGTTTCCGGCACGTCATTGTACACTTTGGCGTAAGAAACACACGACGTGTGCCCGGAGACGTCGCTTCAGGCCAAGGGGTTAAACATGTAGTCGCGTAACGCGGCGTGATTTTCGCCGACGACGGCTGAACTTTGCGCCTTCCGACAGATCATCGAACGCGCTCGTATAGTGCCGCGCCGAAATTCAATCAACCGATCAAGCGGTGCGCATGTACACCCGTCTGCTCTCGCCAGCGACAGACAAAATAAACGCGCGACGCACTGAAGAGAGAGAGAGAAAGAGAACTAACCTGCCGGGTTAATTAGTTTGTCAATGTGGCCCGCTCGGCTCGTACGAGCGTGGAACGCGAAAAAAAAAGCGGTCGATTCGACCGTCGTTACATATCGATATATCGCGAGTCGGCCGAGCCTCCGAATGAACGGCGCCTGTCACGCGTAGACATTCGCATCTTGCTGTTCGTTTCGTCCGGTGCGTCACGAGTACGCGTGTTCCGCACAATCGAGAGGCGTTAGGCGCCCGCGTTATTGATAAACTCCGCATACCCGCACGGGATTCACTCGATTTTGCCTTTTTTCTTTTTTCTTCTTTTTTTTTCAGCGAAAACATCGAAAACGCGATTGCTGGCGGATCTGCCGCAGTTTCTTTCGCCGAGATCTTCAACAACGTTAGACCTGTCGCCGAGCGCAAATGTAGATTTGAACGAGCTCGTTTTCGCAAATTTTTATCGGCTTCGAATATCTCTTTATAGAAAGTTTCTCCGTTTCCGTTATCTTCCAGCGCCTTCTCAAGCGCCGATAATATGAGCTCGTTTGTTAATTAATTGACTGATGATAGGTTTCGCTCACAGTCGACATTTGCGTGATAAGGAGTGGTGGAAAAGCTCGATGTATGATTGGTTGATGATATTAGTTGGACGCAGATGAAATTGTTACATTGCGGCGTATCGAAGTTCGGAAACGTAAAGTAAGTTTCCCGGCGAAGCTCCGTGCTTCGCGTGTCTTCTTACGATTTTCCAACATTCGTGCCGTAAAGATCCGGCATGATTCCGCATCGAGCGACTCGGTAAGATCTCCCCCTCCCTGCGCCTGAGGGACCGTCGACGTTCGGATTTTTTCACTAACCGGATTTCATCGGTGTACACAGCTCGCGTTCGTCAATAAAACCGCGTGGCGGAAGTTACGGATCGTACGGTTATCGCGAGAGCAAGTTTCATGCTTGCCTGCACGGACGCAACGGGTTCCCTCGCGAAGAGACATTATCGCCGTTACGATGATTCCATTGAGGAGCAACCATCGAGCGCTTCCAATGCGTGCACCGCGCGCGCTGATATTAATTTATCGCGTACAAGAGCAGAAACAAATCTCCCGCGCCATTATTTTATACAGAAACACAAATAATATTGCAGGAAATCCCGGGCGTTGAAAATTAAAATTCTTATATTTCTTGACGCGTGCGGAGAGAGAGAGAGAGAGAGAGAGAGAGAGAAACGTAAAAGCGACGGTAAACCGTGCACGGCCGCGGGGAAATCGCGCGTCAAAACTTAAATTAAAAAGATAACGAGATAACGAAGAGACACGCACGACAGCGGAATTACTATTCGAAAAAGTATCGGGAGGGGGGAGGGGGAGGGCAGAGCCACACAAAACAAAGCCGTGGCACGTCAAGAATGCGTTCGCGCCCCCTATCAAAGAGAACCACGACGGCGGTCGCGACTGTCGGCTGCGCGTTCCGTTTATTGGATTTCGTTAATCTCGCGAATCGCGCGAACAATCCCGACCGCGTGTCTGCCGCACGCGAAGCGCGGCGAAATGTACCACGTAAAACCGATATGTCCCTTCATCCCTAACGTTCGCAGTTAATCGCGTCGGGCTGCTCTCCCTGTCGCCGTTAGGCCGATATTCGATTCTGCACGGCTCTATATAGCGCGGTAATTAACTGTCCCCGCAGTGTCCCGGCGATGCGTAGAGCGCCAAACGTCGCAAGAAGATATGTTTGGCCGACCCTCTGTAACGAAGCACCGTGATAAACGCTAATCATAAATCTCAATAATGCGAGAGCGATCCCCACGGCGGGTTACGATATACCGTGAGTAATCGATGCACGAATTATCGGTTGGTAGCGAAGTTGATAGAGTTCGAATGTTACTTCACGGAGAAAAATAACACGGGCTAATGAAAGAATGTCAATTCTAATCAACTGGATTATTTTGCTGAATTTACAGATTATTTTGCAATAATAATAAATTAGTAAATGTAGCAAAACATTATTTTGTTCGAGCAGCAAATTAACGTATCCTAAAAACAAATTCACTTGGCAGAATTTTTCTATCCTAGCAACAAAACTGCTTCTGCTCTAATTATAAGTAATTTGGTTATGCTAATTTAGTTATGCCAACGAAATTTTATCGCTGACGCAACGAATACGCAGTTGCAACGATATATGGTTTCGCTACAACACCGAAATTATTTTTCTCCGTGTCGGGTGCGCTGAGAAAAAACGCCTGATATTTGTAATTATATAATAAATTTATACTTACTATATTATATAAATTATGAGCTTAAGTAAATTATAAAATGGAACTTGTATAATTATGAATTATACAAAGAACTTGTTTTTTGTGGTAAATGCTACTGTAATGTTACTGATAACACTTGGCCCATATTTTGCGTTCGATTGTAGACCTTGTGAAAAGTTTGTTGTAATCATTAATTTTATCGATGATAACTTCGCATCCATCTTGCTGTTAATATAATTTTATGTCAGAGCAATAGAAAAATGCGGCTGAAGCAAAAATTGATTTCTAGGGAGGTTAACAGGTTTTTCTCTCAGCACGAGTCTCCGAGGAAAGAGAACCGAAGAAGAGCACCGCAAAAAGTTCGGTCGCGCGATTAAGGCACGACTTGCGCTTATCGAGGATGTAACGACACTCTCAGCGACCATTAAAAATTTTTATCGAGGGGTGCGTCGCCGGATTAGAAGGGACGCGTCAAGATAGCTTTCAGGTTTTTCAGCTCGCGATCGGCTATCGCGACCTGTCCAATTAGTAATCGATGTTCGAATACTAGATCGCGCGAGAACTCGTCGAAATCTACCGGCAAGAACGCTGTATAGGAAGACGAAGAAGAAATGGAAGAAGCAGAAGAACAAGTGGACGAAGAAATCAGTCTCTCTCAACGATATGTCGGCTAACGAAGTGCGGAAGCTAACGGAGATCGAGGGGCAATTAGATCAGCGCAGAGTAGTGAAGTAGTATCAAGACTCGCGGGAATGTCGAGCGAAAATCGCGCGGGTTCATCAAGGGTTAACTTGTCAGATCCATCCCCGGGCGGGAGTTGGTCCATAGCTGACGTCATAAACGCGCAACGCGATGATTAAGACATGCGGGAGAAGCCATTATCCATCCTGTGGGCTGTGTGTATGTGTGTCTAAAATACATGTAGGTGTGCTGTGTAGAATCGGGCGAGTGCCTCTCCGCTCGTTCCGATGCGATACACTTTAATGATGTTGCGAGACCATCGGCAGGCAGGCAGGCAGGCGAACAGGCAGGCAGGCAGACCGGCAGGCTGTTGACCCATTTCGGACTTTGCGAGCGGCTGCAACTTGGTTGCAGCCGCGATCGCCGTCCGATGCAGTAACTTCGCGTATTAAGAACTTCGTTCTCGCTCACGCCCGCCGATGGCCGCGCGCACAAGTCCGCGAGCGAGCGCCGGGAATCCGCGGATTCCGGGCTTCACGGGCGTCCAAGTGTTGACGCGAGTCTGAATCCGCTCGAATTCACTTTGAAATGGGAAAACGCGATTTCCCGCCGGCGCTCGTACGGCTCGCTTCGTTTGGTGTCGCCGGTCGGGGTGAAGAAGGTGAAGTAGAAGTCGCGTGGAGAAGAGGGCGAAAACCGAGGATGAATCTGTGGCGGGAGAGATTCTCCGCTCGCACGAGGGGAGGAAACAGTAGCAGAATCGAGTGAAAAAATTCGTTGATTTTCCTTCGATCGTTTGTATTGATAAGAAACGACGTGGTCACAGCGTGGTAGATAACAAACAGATTCTCGAGATAATTGGCACTTCGTTTCGAAGATCTCTCTTTCTCGTCTGTCCCGATGTTTATAATTGTCATCGGAGCGAATAATCGTTATTACTGTTGTTACAATTGTCGATCAGATTTATGCCGATACAACGCGACACCAGACAAATCTCCGGACAGATCTCAACTCTCTCCGCTCACTCCAGTTTTCCAAGTCGGATGGGGAATCAATTATCCCCCCTCCCTATCTGATCTTTCAACTTATCTCCTGATTGTCTGAGCGACAACAGCTCTAATATCGACATTCATCCCGAGCGCTCCGTGTTCCATAATGCGACACGTCGGACGCTCCATTAACGCTTGCGTTTAATTACGTTAACGTTAATTACGTTACGTTAACGATTAAATTGCGCGATACACGTCGCTGATGGAACCACGCACGTTTAAGCCCGAGCATATCTCGATCATGTGTGTGTAGTTACGTTGATCGCGCCTAAAAAACGCCCTGCTTTGTTAATTACCCGCAACGACGCGACCGGGAGGAACCACGAGGAAGATCGCGCCTGATCGCTTCGGAGCGAGAAGTGTCGCGCGACGCTGGTTTCATTTCTGAGACTAGAGCCAATTTTCGACGACACGGAGGTTCGGTTCTATCGATCGATCGCGGTTACGGAGAAAAAACGACGAAATACGGCTGAATTTCGGGAACGCAAGGAGACCTCTCGGAGATCTTCGTGAGACATCTTTTTCTCTCTCTTACGATACAAGAGGTACACAACGTTCTCTCTTCCTCCTCGACAACCGGTTCTGCTCCTAAGTCCGACACTCTTCTTTGAAACTCGCGGATGGGAATCGAGATCCTCGTCAAGAGGCGCCTCGACGACGGTAGGAAAAGGTCCCTGGGTCGCGCGGCGCGCTCACACGCGCAATAGCGTGTCATTGTCGTTGATGTCGAGCAACGGTCGATGGTTCGCGACGTTGCCCACGGGTGCGTTACGCCGGTCCGAGTAGCGGCCGAGGTCCTGAAGTATCCTGTACGAGGGGCGTCGTAGTAGTTGTTATCGCCTAGAGGCACGGAAGTCGGCACTAGGCTATGCGAGGGTGACCACCCCCTCTGGCTCGGGCGACCAGCAGTTGTCGGACAGCCAGCAGCCGATCACCACCGTGATGAAGCCGATCAACAGGGCCACGATGATGTAGATCTCCGCCTTCCCTAGCGAATCTGTTCACAGTACGTGCTTGTGTAGCGCACCCTCGCCATTATGTGCGACGCGCGCGCGCGTCGTTAAGGAGCTAATTAGTTCTCGCAGCAGACTGGTGGCGAGGTTAGCAGACGGAACCATGCATTGTGGGAAGATCCCCGAGGTGTGCATACGCTCAGGTGCTAAAGCATGCTTGTTGTTGCAAACCCTTCAGGTATAATTTGTTATCTTGTGGCCGTATACGGTATAATTGAATTAATTGGTAGAGGTTGCATTGTACGGAGAGCGTTGAGCGGCGTAGTGACGAACAAGTACGAGTTTCGGGGGGGGGGGGGGGNGAATAGGATGCGTGCAATTCTCGGGTGGACGCGAAGATCGGTCACTTTTCTCGGTTAATGGATTGATAATTCGGTATAATACATCTAAAGAGAATGCCTGATGCATTAAAGTGGCATGCTAAGCGTTGGCACGTTAAATGACGTGGTGGTCACCGGTGACCGGCGCTATAATTATTAGATATTACGTGCAAAGTATAGGAAGTACTCTCTAAAATGGAATCAGAATATTATTACTGATTATTACGAAAATATTTATGCATACTTACAGTAAGTACAATTATTACGTATAAAGTATAATTAATTGCATGTAGAGAAAACGATCGGGAAAAATCTTTAAAAAAAGAACAGAACCAATGAAAGGAGACAAGAGATACATGCATCCTGAATTGCATTTCTTCAACACATCTTTAATAATTCGATCATTGATTAGATTGTTGCGCGATCAATGGGGATCGACGCGGCGGTCGACGCGTGAACATTCCGTATTTCGTTTCCGCTCTTTCCTCGAGATTTCTTTAGTAGTTTTCGGGACCGCTAAGCAGAGTCCTAATCTACGATGAGAATCCGAAATTTCCACGGCGGAGAGGTACTCCGCAGCCAGGACCGGCGTATTTGAAAGTTAAAACGAAGTCTCGAGCCAAAGGAGGACGCGGGCAGGAAGACGCCGTTCCGTTTGTGTGTTCGTTTCATGAATTTTTCACAGCCGTAGCCATTATACTCCTGCGCCGCGCTCGCGGCCACGACGCGGGTAGCTCGCGGCGAAAGATGAAAACAAAGCGCATGGTCGTGCATTCCGCCGGTGTCCGGGCGCGGATAAAACGAGCGTAACGGTAACCGCGTTGCCCGGCGAAATTCAAACGGTCGACAATGGGGGAATTTGTGCGAGGAATTAACCAGATTCCGATTCGCTTACTTCTTCATTCCCGTTGTTCCCTCGCGATAATTCAATTAAAGTCTCCGTGCGGCGGTCGGCCGACTACGCGAAACATTCAACCCCAACGTTCGATCGGGAATAGGCGCTAGCGGGAAGTTTGTCATTACGGATTCCGCTCGGGATCTCAGTAATTTCCGCGGCGGTAGGAAAAAATCTCGCTCTCGGCTTTTCGCGTTCGAGCGTGCACACGATCGCGGCGAACTACTTTCCGCGAAATTGCGGCGCCATGCCGTAAGACGTGCTTTATGGTTCGACTATCGCGATATGAGATTCCCCGACAGCGTGCAGCCACTACACCGCCAAAGTCGTAAAACTGAAAAAGTTTCTCTCACAAATTGCGGCCGTGCTGATCCGGCGAATTGATCCGGCCGGCGGGACACGAGGATGTGATACAAATCGCAACCGGCTGCCCGTCGTCATTATTCGCAACCGCGATCCCTCTTTTACGACACGCGTCTCCGCGAGTCGCGCGCGAAAATGAAAGATTCGCGAGGGCGGCGCGAGATGAATGGCCGCACGACTGTGTCGAGCACGCGTCGTGGGTGTGTAATTTAACTAATCTCGAATTAATCACGGATACCGGAACGAAAGGAGCGTGACACCGCCGGGCGGATGCTTTCATGCAGGACTAATTGCGGGACAGATAACATTAACACACACACAACTATGAGGCTGGCTCGAGCACATCATTGCCTGACAACGGATCGATCACTCAAAATGCGTGACTGGCGACTCCACGGCAGACTCCACCGCATCGGAGGCCGCGGCTGTGCGAAGAGCGAAAGAACGATAGTATGCAATCCGTCATCCGCGCGCGAATTCCGTCGTGCATCACCATCGGAAGGAGAAACGGAACGACCGAAATCGAAATTACAAAGCGAAAACAAAAGAAAAGAGAGAAAAGCCCAGCCAGAGAGCAGCCAAGCCCCGAAAAAGCACCTACGCAGAATGCGCAGTCTACACGCCAATTGCGCCCACTTACGCTATTGTAACAATAACAAGGAAAAAAAAACAAACAAACTAACAACAACTATTTCATCCGCTGTGACGCGTGGAAACAAGCGAAAGCAATGACCAATTGTTCGAGCTGCACATGGCGCGGCATATGCATACGATACCATTCGCGGGAGACATTTATAAGCAATACCGAGCTTCGACAAAACTAAAAACGGAAGAAAACGAGAAAGAATAAGCGACACAGCTTCGTCGGCACAGCGAGAGCGCACAGTGTGAAAAATAATCGATTTGAAGGGAAACGATTCAATCTCGCGATATCCAGGTCAAATGTTGATCATCACTTGACATTTATCTGCAATCAGCGTTGGTACCAACGCACACATCTTTTTAAGTTAAATTAAATTTCTTTAACCCTCTAATGGTAAAGTTGAAGTCGGAACCGACTTCATGTTCTGTTTTGTTCATTCTTCATCTAATTAATGTATAAAATGGGTAAAAAAAGTAAACATAATAATATGAAACATCTTTCTCTGTTTATTTATAAATGAAAGAAAATACAATAAAGTTACAAACTGACCTTAAATAATTGCGGTAAAACACTTTGAAAGACCTTGCCATTAGAGGGTTAAATTTCACGAAATCAATTGTTTTTTTCGGCCTGAAAGATCTTGACGGGAAGTATCGTAAAATCAGCAAATAAAACACACGAGAGCGTAAGAATGATTTCCCTTCAGATGTTCATTTCTCGCACCGTGGAGCGGCGAGTGAATCTTTACCTAGCGGACCCTTCGACTTCCACAAGCCCTTGATGAGAGTGGGGTCGCCGCGGCGCCAGTCGCGCCAACCTCGACCTCGGCGAGCCGGTCCAGATCCCGCGGACCAGCCGGTGCCGGAGGCGGCGGCACCGCCACCGGCACCGCCACCGGTTGTGCCACTACCAGCAGTGGCCCCACCGGTCACGCCAAGGCCGAAGGACGCGGCTCCGGCAGAGCCGGTCGAAAAACCGGTAGCACCGCCGCCTCCGACACCGCCGCCGCCACCGGCAGCACCACCACCGCCACCGCCTGGGCCCGGGGTGCTCGGCGAACCGGCCTGCGGCTGACCGTGGGTCCCTGCTCCAGCACCGCTCTGCGGCAACGGTGCTCCCGCTGCTTTCCCCATCGGTCCCAGGATCACCAAGAGGCAGCATGAAAGACAGGTGAGGCGTGCGCTGTTAGATGATTGATCGATTCGCGCTGGATAGGTCGAACGATCAAATGATGACTCGTCGCGGTATTGGGAAAGTTCGATGCGATTTTTTTGCCTTTTTCGACAGTGCCACCGCAGTCCTTTTTTCGGGTCCTTTTTTCAGTTTTAATAAAGCCTTAATATTTATCACTATATATATAATTATATACATATAATTATTAATAAGTAAAAACTCTCATTAGTTTTTTTTAATCGCTTCCTTATCTCGTTATCTCTGGATATAATGTGATATGATACGAGATATGTTACATGATATGATGGCAAGCTGTCAAAATGACAGTTGAATAACCAATAATCATGATATATACGCACATCTACACAGAGAAAAAAGTACTTAAAAAAAATTATTTGTGGTACATAAGGCTTTTGTGAAATAAATTTTATGTCCCACAATAAATTTTTTTTCAGTTTAGACAGATGTGAATGATCAGAAAGAATAGTGAATTTTAGCTTGTTAAGGCTTTATCAGAACGTTAATGTACGATAAAAGTACAATACCAGCATTGTGGCGAAAGGTCACAGACAACGATAGCGACTGTTTGGTTAACGAATAATTTGTTTCCATTCGATGAGATAATGAGATCAAACTCGACTCAAAAATCGAACCGAACTTTTCGACTGAACCAATAGGTATACTTTTTGCTCGTCGATTTGCTCGTCCTCGCTTATCTAACGCTTCTCGGAGATCTCGCGCTGCTCGTGGTCGTTATTCTGAGCGAGTGAAGCTTGATCGACGGCGTTATATTCTTACTCAGTACTGGCGGCGTTGGGAAAATGGGAAACGCGGTACGCGACCCCATCACGTTCATTTTTGATGGAAATTTTTACGAGAATTCTTTAAAATTGCATTACAGCAATTTTTCATATAAGATCACCGCTTCTGTCGCGCGGCTTATCCGATTTCAAGCGACATGTATGAGTATTATTCCGTGAGATGGAGGAACGACAAATTTCGTTACTCGGAAAATCGATAAAAAGTCAGCTGCTACTATCTGCTGATGCATGTGAATATAAACGAGCGGTAGATAGCGCTTATTATCGGTATGATACCGCAGGAACAGATCTTCCTTTGAAACAAGCGTAGTAGATAAGCGAAGAAGCGGTATACCAGAGCGGAAGATATATAGAATTTTTGAACTGAGAAAATATTTGGAAAGATCGATAGATCGTGTAAGTGATTCACTGAGCTTGCTTGACACGTTGGCTGCCGATATATCACCGGTGATACATTTGGCATAAATAACTCAGGAGAGCCGGAGAGCGCATCACCAGTGATATATTCAACCCATGTAAAATAAGCATAAAAAATATCTCTGACTTCCATTTAACGAACATCATTTTGATTCGTGATTCTATTTCGATGAAGATAAAATCTTTCTGTGTTTATACGCGGCTGGACAAATTTTTTGAATTTAAGTCGCGCAGCCAACGTATCGAAATAACAAATTGAGTGCTCGCTGCTCGATAAATCAAACAATTTTTCTGATTATTACTTATTATTCGATTAATTATGACAGATATGGTTACGACAACATGAAACGATAATTCACGGGAGCCGGGAGATGGGGGACCCTTCGATACGTAGGGAATGGAGAATTGGCGTGTGAAAAATATCGAGACGCGATATCTCCCGCTATATCGGGAGATATCCTACGGCTAATGCATGTGCTTAGAGATCGAGGGGATTTTTGTGTCCATCGACAAGGGCCGAAGGATGACATTGATGTAAATGGATTGACGGGCAATCTACAAAGATGAGTGATGAATCGTATTTTGGGCTCCATTCGGCGTGGACAGATGACAACCAATCATCGACGATCATAACAATAATAAAGAGATATGCGTGTAAACCGCAATTCTATGGTTAAATTAAATTTCGTCGTCGCTCACGATAATTGTCACAGTTAATTACGCGGCTTTAATTGTACGACTATTATAATATGCTTATTTAGCGGGTAATTTATTCGTCGTTATTCCCAAATAATAATTCAGCAATTAAATTCTGGAATTTAATATAAATCTATCTAATATAAGCGTGTGTGTAAAAGACTAGCAATTGTTTGCCCATCGTTATAATGTGCAAATGCGTAATCCATTTTTTATTCGCTCAACGTAGCATTTTCAATCGAATTCGCGAGAGACCCGGGAGAATGCGTGCGACGTCCGTAACGTTCCGTGCATCACTTTAATTAAAAATTATCCCTGCGATATTTAATTTTCTCGAACCGGGTCGTGTGCGATATACGTATGTACGTCTGTAAATGTGCGCTTGCGCGCGCATGTGTGTGTGTATATACACGTTCGAATACTAGAAAACAGATAGCTGAGTATCCGCTTTGAAATCTTACAAGTAAAATTGTATTGTGGATCGTGAAATGCGTCCAAATATATCTCGATATTAATTTTTTGAAATATGAGGCAAAACATGGTCAGGCCGGCGGCGATATTTGCGGAACCAAGGAAAATACCGGAGAGCAATTCCGCTCGTTCAATAATCCTGTACCTTCGAATACGCGAGTATCGAGGTTCGCCGGTTTCAAAACCTGTTGCGTTCTTTTTGCAAGCCGAATTTAGCGAACCGTGCTCTTCCAATGCGAAATAGACGATGAATATTCAACTTTGTCGTTTAATACGAATAACCAAAAATTGTTAATAGAGCCTTGACGCGGAAACACGAAATAAAAGTCTTTCCTTTATTCCACATTCTACGTTCCTACCTCTGTCTTCCCCTCTATGTCTTCATGTTCCACTTATTGATTCGACAATTTGCGCTTGAATTTTACAGTGCGGACTTAATTGCAACAATATATATAGAAATATAATAGACCGTTGTATTATATATATATAAGAATCTATTCAGCGTGGAAGGTACGATTTATCGCGCACGTTTATCCGAGAATTGTCTGATACATACGTCATTACACGCTGAACAATATATTCTCCTATAATAATTTAGTAATAACGTCACTAAGACAACTGCGATTTGGTTCATAAAGGTCCGTTTTATTTCAACATGTATGGTTGAATTGCCAACAGAGCCCATCAAATATTCTTTTAATTGCAATAGTAACATGAATGTTACATGAACTGACGATTGTCAAGTGCCACTTCAGTCACGCATGCAACAGTGCCAAGAGAGTGTGTCGGAAAGGAATGGTTTGTGTGTAACATAACAAACACAACGAAAGTAGAGTGTATTTTACCCTCAGATTTGCGAAATATGCGATTGACGTTTTCGCAGCATCCTTAATACAGAGCAGTGTTAACGACTTAGCGAGAATGCGGATTTTACGAAGGAAATTTCTTTTTTTTTTCCTGTCACGCTTCGTCGCAGCCCTCCGATAATATTGAGCAATCTGCATATGCAGATTAAAATTTTGATGGTTCGCGGTGCGAGGAATAATGCCGCGAATCTAACCGCGAATAGAAAATCAATAATTTTAAATGAAGTATAATTTAGACTCGGACCGCTGCAGCGGTCTATCGAGGTCATGCGAGTTATTGAAACCGCGCGCGTTGACGTTTCGACCGGAGTCATCGAGATTACAAAAATTGCGATTCTATTGAAGGCTCGAAAATTACTCGGGACATGCGTTGACTTCGGGACGACGTGTTCGGCTTGCGACGTTTGCGGGTCCGTGTAAGCGAGAAGCGTGTAAACTAACTCTGATATTACATGTTCTCAGACGTAATTATGTAGAGAAGCGAATTGGGTTTAACACTTACCGCATAAGGAGAGTAGCAAAACACCGACGAGGAAGAACCACCCCATACTTCGTCAACAGATCGCGCCGTGGAGGATCATCCTACATAGCGATGTGTCGTAGTGCCTCGTACGTGGGACCGTCGTCAGTGCGTTGCGCGTCGCAACGAGAATCCTGCAAGTCGAAAGCAGCAAAGCTTACGAGACCTGAATCGTACGTTCTAGCTGCGTGCGGGGAAAATTAAAGTTGTTGAGCCGCGATCTCACGAGGTGATCTCGCGCGTAATCTAATTTACGAATAAGTGAAACGGCCTATTCCGGGTCGGCCTTCGCGAGAAAAGCACGCAGAATCCGCTGTTCTATATAATCACCGACAGAATAATGTATAAATACACTTTCAGGCGAGTCACGGCGTCGGACGTTTCCGTAAACCAACGAATAGCTTATGTATGAACCCGTCAGAACGAATCCTGACCCGTAAGCGAGATTATATTCCGCATGTATTCCGCGTTCATCATTCCGGCTCGTATATCGTATTAAGAGTGTAACCGCCAATATTGTATGTACGCTTGGCCCATCACTACGGTTTTAATACAAACAACCTGTTTCTGAATAATTCGCTGAAGCTAAGTTCTCTCATTGAATATCTTCTGCGTTTTGAAAAAATTATATTTAACCCAGATAGCATAGTTAGTTTCGTATATGTTCTTCAAATATATGTAATATGATTATGAAACGTTACATACATTTAAAGAATGTGTATGAAACTGCATGTGCTACCTGGAAGAAAAAATTGTTCCAATCATATTTAAATAAAATCATTATACATCAACCGATTAAATCCAATAAAGCCGATTATCGTAAAGAGAGTTCTCCTTCCCTTCTCACGATTAACTCTCTAGTGGTAAAGTTGGGGTCAAGTCTGACCCCATGTCCTGTTTTGTTCACTTTTCATCTAATTAATGTAAAATGAGTGAGATAAGCAAATAATAACATGAAACTTCTTTCTCTATTATTTATAGATGAAAAAATACACTAAAGTTTATTAACTGATTTTTAAAAATTGCAATAAAATATTTTGAAAAATGTTTTAATTTTTGGAAAATCCACCTTGTCATTAGAGAGTTAAGGGAGATTATGTGCCATTCAGCGAGACACATGAGAGAGATTATAGTTATTTTTGTCCTCAACTATATTTTTCCTATGGTCTTAATCACAAGAAAGTATTAGTAACAATGCAATTAGTAGCATATGAGGTTATTATCATTGACACTAGTAATAGTTACTAAAAAAATGGTCCTCTTGACTGTAATTCTTTCACTATGATGATTATACCCAAACAACGCGTATGTCTAAAAGACGTCTGAAAAACGTCCTTTAAACGTTTTATTATCTAAAAGCGTTTTAGGTTATTTTAATGTTCTCTGGACAGCTACGAATGCTAAACATTTCTCTTAGCGTGGTCGTGGCGAGTGGTCGTGGCGAAGTTAAGAAGAGACTCAAGCGAGAAATTGTTTTAAAGTATCACCTGACAGTCGTTCCGTCGAGTTCGAGGACAGAAGACATCGCCGACGCGCGTTCAGTATCCAAGTTTCGCAAGGAATGACCCGCGGACGCGAGAAACCGCGCGATAAACGGCCATATTGCCTTCCGTTTGGTCACGTGAGCACTTTAGGCGCGCAATGATCTTCGCGCTACTCACTTCAAGCGACGGAAGACATGGCAGAGGCGCGCACAAAGAAGCAGCACACTAGCGCACTCTAAGTGCAGTCTAGCACAGTTCGTGGTAGTACTTTTACACGCGTGTCTGGTGTGTGTGAGCGCGTGGGTTATTTTCTCGCTTTTTCTCGCAACTCACTATGCGACCGGAATCTCGAAACAAGGTAACAAAGCGCGAAGTACAATCGAGCACGGAATTGCGATTCGGAAGAGGAAACGAATGATTCACGTTTCGCAACTGCTCGCCGGAGCTTTATCGTGCGAAATCAGCTTTTCGTTCGCTTCTCGCTTAATAACGAGACCCGGCGAATTTACGGCAAATAGCTTTGCAGATGCGATCTAAATGACGGCGTTTCGGCAATAGCATCGCTGAATGCTCGATCATCCGGCTCTCTCTCTCTCTCTGCTCCCGAGTATTCATAATTATATAGATATTATACATATAGGCGCCATTATCTATTCCGAGCATGAGTCGCGCGCATTCAAATGAACTCGGCGAGTATCGCCATTCGTGAAGCGCGCACGACAATCGACACATCCGCGATGGCGCTTCGCGATCCCGCGCTCCGATTGTAGTTTCTTCGTCAATTTGAAAGGGTTAACGCGGTCGGGCGTGTCCGGCGCCGAGGGAGTTCGCGCGGCCGGTATACGTTGGTGAAATTCAGCCGGGATTATCGTGCCGTTGCGCCAGACATTGTACGCGAGTTCTGCGCGACGACGAGCTGCGTGTCGACGAAACGACGATGCTAAAACAAAGCCCGGCGTTCGACATCGATCGGCTCTCCGAGGCGGTAAACGGCCTGCAGAAATGCCTGGAGTGCACGATATGGTGAGCTCGTAGTCTGTAAATGCGTGTACGCCCGTAATTAGAGCGCCGTCAGAGCCCCATCGAGTCCGCACGTGTGATTTACAGACGTGATTAACCAGCTCTCGGGCGCGATGATTGGCGCAGCTTATAGGTTAGGATTTCAGCGATGCAGCAGGTGTTCTCTGTGTTTGTTACAGCAACTATCAATCAAATCTATCGAAATAGTCGTCAATTCGCGCAGGGAATATTATATCGAGTTAATCCCGAGCGCCAAATATTGATTTAAGGCACACTGAGCTCATTTCTAGGTTATCTTGCTTGTGACAGTGAGCGTGTGCAAGACTGAAGTTATGTTTTGGGACGTAACTTTGCGATACTAACTATATGTGACTTTTTAGCATTGTTCAGTGTCCTAAGCTTTACATCTTGAGCCTATGAATGACCATCGTTTTGTATTGTTTCAGTTTGGAGCTTATGACAGCACCTGTGAAGACACGATGTGGCCACTCGTTCTGTCAGCAATGCATAGGGAGGGTCTTACAACAGAATGCTCCTTGTCCACTGTGCAAGGAAGTCCTTAATAAACGCAGTGTATCCAAAGATGATCATCTGGAATCATGTATTGAGAAGTTCAAGAGACTTGTTATCGTCATTCAGACTGACAGTCACATTGATGGTAAGTATATTGTAATGAAAAGTCCCCCAATCAATTGGTCGCTTGGATTCATTGCTTCCCAACGACATCTGAATCTGTACAATATGAGTTAGTATCCTCATTTAAAGTATCATTAGCTAATTGCACTAGAGAGATAAAAGCTTAATGGCAAAGCAATGCTAGATATAAGGAGCTATAGCTTCCTGGATTCTCCTGGGAAGCGACTGTTGCGCCAGCTGGATGCCATGATATTGAGAATCATTGCTTGGAGCTCCCGATAATGGTCATAATATCCCCCGGACTATCGATCGCGATCCGCTATTGTCTTATTCAGCTGTGAGTGGAAGTTAAGAGCACAGGGCGGTAGACGCTCTGCGCCGTAAAAGTACATTAAGTGAGGTCAGCATTACGTCCTTCGCTGCGGGCCCTCATGCTGGGAGGCCTGAAAAATTTAATTCTCGATACACTGGAGGTGCCTCGATTCGCGCTATACGTTTTAGAGAAAGCTCAATGTTTTACGAGACCTCGGGAGTTTGGGTATCACGTATCTTTCGGACGCCGTGCAGTATCTCGCGTTGAATATTTCAGCGCGTGTTTACCGTAGAATTTTTTCCCGTCGTAGTTTTGATATACATATGCGCGATATATCGAGCACACTTTGTCGCGGATGAATATGAAAATAAGGGAAAAAGAAATGATAACAAATTTTTTATTTCTCATGAAAATCGAGAACACACACACACACACACACACACACACACACACACACACACATATACACACTTATTCTCTATATTCTACACGGAAAAGAAATCTCTATTCGCGTAACTAAATAGGGACCGGATGACAACTCGGTGACGAGAAATAATATCTCTCTGTTACCTCGACCATTTATCTAAATGTTCAGCCGCTTTATAACTCGGTTGAGATAACTGGGAACCATTGACTGAATAAAAGCCTTCTACAGAAATGTTTCTGTTCCTAAAACCATGTTCTTTCGTCTGATCCTCAGACAACAGAAAATCCTTTGTAAGCTGAGTTTTTCCCCATATAGATAACTTTATTCATCTATATATATATGTGTGTGTGTGTGTGTGTGTATAATTTATCCAAAGATAAGATTTTGGGAAAGTAAGAGTGTTACTTTTTCGCCTAAACGACCTTTTAGTTATTCTCAGAATTTGATAAAAAAAAGTCACTTTTGGTCATTATTTTGATGACTGAGAGGTCAATTTTTGACATCTTTTCTGCCAAGAAGCAGCCACTATTTCATTTTTTTGTTTCGGTGACTGGCTGGCAGCGCTGCTGTATTTATAATCTCGTCGACAAAGACCAAAAGATTTGTATGTAAATCGGAATACGTTCGTTCGTGCGCGAATTCACGGTCTAAGTGTACGCCAGACAGACAAATGTATTGTTCCTTGAGAAAGCGCGCAACTCCAGATGATTATTTATACTTGACCGTACCGGTGGGTCGATGTGCGCAACATTAACGTCACGATCCGTCATGCAAGTGCTATCGCAAGATTACTTTATCTTTATTATAGTTCCCTAGGATATTTTTGTTGCTGTGGGAGATAATCACGTCCCAACATTGAGATTATTCGTGAGGTTTTCTACAAATCTTATAATCGCGTATATAAGTGCACCTCTGTATTATTAGAGAAAAAAAATGAGATTGATGATTACCAAGATTCCTGATATTTTATATAGCTTCAATTATACCAAGCTAATAAATAATATATAAATTATAATATTACCAAGCTACTAATAAAAATATGTAATTGGAGTCGTTTTGATTTATCTTCCCTCACAATGATTTGGAGGTAAAACTGTTTTTCTCTCCCTTTTTCTCTCTCTCTCTCTCTCTCTCATTCTTATAAAAATGATTTCGTACTTTAAATAATGCTGAGATACCTTAATTATCGTAAAAAATGCCCCTTTTATCGGCGTCAACAAAGAAAAAAATACTAACCGTTGAACGATAAAGCGGTACTCGTGTTACAGTACTGTCGCACTTGAAGCTGCCGCGCGACACGAGGGAGAGCTGCTCGAATTCGGATAGTAGTCAGTCTAGCTTTTCTCACAAGAGAAAACCGACGAGGAGGCAATCGATTCGCAGCAACCAGAGTAGTACCTTTAAGACGGATAGACCGTCGACAAGCTGGAGAACGGTAATTGACTGTGATAATCCACGATACGACACGAATTCATTGATTCAACAGTCCGATCCAACCTCATCGTCTTTGGCCGGTCTTCATCCTCGTTTCGCTAACGAAAATAATAACACGTTTGACGATACGTCGGACGTCAAAGTTCGCACGTGGATACACTCGTACATCGACCAGCTCGATACCATCGGCGAGAACGTAGAAGATGAAACGCGTTCAAGCGAGAAGAATACGTCCCGGGTGAATAAGGACACGAAGAAGAGGGGATCCAATGACACGAAGAAGACCGATTTTGACGCCGATAAATTGAAATACAATGCGACTCACGCCAAGATACGTGCGAAGGAATGCAGGTCCGCGGATTCTAGAAAATCGAAGGTCGAAGAGCACATCGGCGATCATCGGGATGTCTCGGCGACGTCGAACGATCAGACGCGTCAGACCAGCGCCGATAAGTCGTTTTTCGCGGATACCACTTGGACCCGCGTGAAGGAGATCGGCAAGGAGATGCGTGGGAAGAAGAAGAAGAAATTGGAAGTGAGTACCGAGAAAAGTACCGATAGGAGTACTGAGAAAAAGGTCGAGGAAAAGACCGAAAAGGAGACCGAAAAGAATCCCGGGAAGAGTTGGAACATTCCTCGCATAATAGAAGACGTTATATTGACACCGGGGTCGAAATTCGAGTCATTTAATAAGAGCGCAACGAGTGACAACATGATCAACAAAGAGGCGAAGATATCTAATCTGCCGCAGAAATCGAGTAGTCGGAAACAGGACGCGATTGATAAGAAGTCGGTCTTATCGGGCAAAAAAATAACCCGGAAAACATCGGCGAATGAAGCGAAGGATCGGGAAAGATCGTTCGCCAGTGACAAAGCCGATTCCTCGATGTCGGAAGTTAATTACTACACGGAGGAGACATCGTTCATCACGCTAGCGGACGGCGATCAGAAACTGCGCATAAAGAACCTCAATAGTCGTCAGATGAATGAGATTATCGGCTTCAAGGGAGACTTTCAGGAATCGACCAACGACGGGAACGTCCTTGACCGAAATCGACACTTCAAGGAGGAGGAAGAGAAGGAGGACAAAGAACGAGAGGAAAACCAGAGAATCATGACGGAATCGTTCAACTCGTCATCGTCGCGTCAGCAAAGATTGATCGTATTGACGCCGGAAAAACTCAACGAGTCCGTGCTGAAATGCAGGACGACCCGCGACGACGGCTCGCGATCTCCCGTCAGCAGCAGGTTAGCGGATCCGATGTCGTGTTTGCCGAACCGGACGCCTCCGGTGGATAATGACGTTGAAAGGACAACGTCGACGATTTCAAGAAGAGAAGCAGCCGCGTCCGAGTCTCGATCACGGATGCCGGAAAAGCCCAGGTTATCCTTGAAAAGGCACCCGAAAAGTTCGGAATCGCCGTTACTGAGTCAGGTTTCCCTGATGGAACGAATGTCGACCGACGACTTTTACGCGAGGAGTTCGAGCGGCCGTAAGAGTATCGATTCGTCAGTGTCAAAGGACGGCCCGTCCGTTGAGCGATTGGCGAGTGTTAGGCGCGACTTGAGCTCGCAGATCATCAGCAAGGAGTGTTTGCAGGCAGACCCGACAGCCGCTGATGTACCCGATAATCGGCCGCAGAAAGACCTAGACCGCGGCTTTCCCGTGAAGTTCACGCAGCTGGGCACGCTGATCAGACGGCGAAATGTGAGGTATATTTACCTGGGTGCGATTAAACGCGAACAACGTTTGCCGGCGCGGATTGCGGAAGCGAACTTGGTGTGCAACATGCAACTGTTGGTCAGCATGAACGAGATAAAGTATCCCAACAAGTTGCAGAGTTCCCGACTCGAGTCGTCCGTGAGCACCTTGCAGGACTCGACGGGCGTCACCGTGCTGGAGAACGTCCACTACGCGGACAAGTCAATCGCGAGTCCAAACGACACCGTCTTAGATGCTATGAAACTCGACATCCCGGCGAGCTCAACGCCGAAGGGAGGTGCGGATCGTGGGCGTCGTCTTAATCGTGCGGGGACCACGGCGCGAGGAAGCTCCTCGACGAGCGCGAACAGACCGTCGGTCGTGCAGCAGACTCCCGCATCTCGCGTGGACCAGAGCACCAAGCAGAACAGGGCGCACGCGGTGAACTCCATCAAGCTGTTGTCGCCGGACAAGGACTCGCAGCTCCAGTTTCTCTCGATAGACTCGCCGATGAGTGAACACGGCCGGTCCAGGCTCGCTAGTTCCACGCGACCGGTACAGTCCGAGCTCCGGAGAGGAGGCAGCTCGGATTTCACCAAAGACAACGACCTCGCGGGTGAGGTGAGAAAGTCGCAGGGGGCCGTCAACGTGCCTTACTCGGAGAATTCTAGATTCCAGCCGGTTATGAAAAGGAAGAGAACGAAGAGCGACGACGACGATGACTCCAGCGACTCGGCGGTCAGCGTGAGTAGTCAACGCACGGTTAAGTTCGACAAGAGCAAGAGGAAAGCGCACAAGAGCCGAGACAAGACGCGTTCAAACGTCGGCGGGAAATGGCCGTCGCGCGACCAGGTGCTCTGCGTAGATCCCGACGACCGCGCGGAAGCGCAAGAGAGGAAATTCAAGAGGATATTCTCGATCTCCGACTCGGACACGGAATCGGATTCGTCGGCGCGCGGCGCGAGGAACAGGTACGTGTGTGAACGTGTCCGTCATTGTGGATTTTTCACTTGTTGCTTTCTAATTCGCGACGAAAGACCGCTTCTCTCCGAGAATCTTGCACATTTAACTCTCCTTGCACGTTAAACTCTATTCTGACCGATTACCGCTGCATACACTCTGCTCTATCGATTCCCTCCCTGTTATTCTTTGTGGAAAAAAAGTTTGCGCAAACGACGCGAAAGATAGGACACGCGCGCGTTTAATCGCCGAGAGACATTCTCTCCCCCTCCCTCGTTTCGGACACAAATGCGTTTTTCTCCTTTTCTCCTCTTTAATGTTTTATTTTTCACTTACATCGTCCTCCGTGTTCTCCCCGAAGAAACAAGAGCGGCGATCGATGCGACCGGGGGAACGCGTCGATCAGGAACACGTCTACCAAAAGTGAACCGACGAGGGAAGCCTTGGACGAGGATCTCCGTATTCGCAGTATAGCCGACAAATGGAACAACGAGTACGGTGCGGCGCAAAAGAGGTCGATCGAGGAACTGAGAAACGCGCAGGATACCGTCAGGCCGATGAGACTCGCGTCCGAGAAGAAGACGAGCTTTCGTCGCTTCCCTTCTACTTTGACCAGCACATCCCGCGAGAGCGACAAACGCGGGAGTGTGAAGTTGAACGAGAACACCACGACGATCGACTCGGATCTGTTCTTCGAGAGCAATAGTATATTCAATTCGGAGGTCCTGGAGCAGCTCAGTGCGCGGCCATCGATCGGCAGGTCGAGCCACAGCCGGAAGTCGCAGAGTTCCATGGACCCCTTCAACGATGACATCATCAGCAAGGTGCTGCAGATCGACCGGTCGACAGGCGTCGCCTCGCGGGTGGACGGCGACGAGACGAGTCAAAGAGACGAGCGTAATTCGCTTCAGGACAATTTCGACGAGGCGTTCGCGAACGTCGAGCTGCCGCAGAGCGAGGACGTGATACCCTGTAGCGAGCTGCCGGCGGCTCGCCGCAATCCTCATCGCAATCTCAATCGCACGCTGACGGAACAGAACACGTCGAGCTGTCCCGCGATGACGAATGAGCCAGCGCGTCAGATGACGGCCGCCTCGTCCACTGCCGACATCTCCGGGTATTGCGGCAAAAGTGCCAAGAAGACACAGCTGAACAACACCTCGGAAAATTCCGACAAGGAGAACACCCACGGCCAAAGGAAACACGATCACGCGGAGGAGGACCGGAGGGATAAGAAAAATATTACCGCGAGGAGACCGGATGACAAAGGCCGTGAGAAGGTCATGTCGAAGAATAATGTATCGCAGGAGAAACGGGTTTCCTTTGACCGCGTCGCCGAGGCGACGGGGAGAATGTCGTCACGGATGGAGAAGGAAATTAATGTTCCAGCCAGCTCGGCGAGTCAACTCCGAGTGGACGACGACGACGACGGCAAAGCACAAGGGAGAAGCACGAGCGACGACCATGAGTCGAACGCAAAGGATTTTTCCTCCGCCTCTCTTATGGACATCACGATGCAGCAGTATCGGCTGAGGATAATCGAGGAAGATCTGTTTGGTGTCGCGCTCACCCGGCCCGCCGCGAAGCCGGAAAAGAGGAATTTGCCGGACGATTCGTTTCGAGAAGAGCAACGCACACCGAAGAAGAGGAAAAAAGGCGCCCATGAGAGAAGCAACGCGGGGTCACAGGTGAGCGTTCGTGCGATTCTTTCTTTAGCAGCTGCATGTTTCCTTTGTTATGATAATTTTTTTTTTCATCTATGAACAAAGCAGGTACAATTGCAATTCGAATTCATTCGCGAAATTCTTCTTCGGAGAGTCTGAGATACGAGATTAATTATGAACTGTTCGAGTGCGATTAAATCGGACAACGTTAAAGATGTGGTCAATTGCAGCCATGTAAAATCAATTGAAATTTATTATTTATGTACGCTTCTGGTACCAGAGATATTTTTTTTATCGGCTGCGAATTATTTTCTCGATCGTCTTATTGAAAATTCTTATCGGAAAATCGCGCGAGACAGGATACCTTCTTCGAGATCGAGAAGAAGGAAAAAAATATAACAGCGAAACACACACACACACACACATCAGACACAGTGAATTGAATTTACATGCGCCGGCGTACGGGCGTTCCTTTCCTTCCACGTTCGTCGCGAATGCCACGGCGTAAACCGCATCGCGTGCGGATTCCCTTCGAAGGGGAACTCCGTCTCTCCCTTTCTCATCGAAATAATTACAACTCGCGTAATTAATCTTCTCGGACGTTCGCCCCAAGTTTAATCCGTCGCCGAAATTAAAGGCGACGCGCGGCGTTTTATATTCTATTAAATTTCCATCGCGGCGTTTTACGAGCCTCACTTTTTTACGATCCTTTTCGCACATAACCAGAGCGAGTATGCGTGTTCGACGGTTTTTCTGTGCAACGATAGGAACGTTTCGCATAGGAATAGCTGAGAATGGATTATGGAGTAGCTTGTTTCATACGCATCGCCTCGCCCTTCACAAACTTGCAAACTGCACGTCACAACCACCCGTAAATGTTACTCCTCGTTATTCGCAACTACGACCTCGGTCTTATGACGCGAGAGAAGAAAAGAAACAGACTCTTAGAAACGAAAAAACAAAGAGAGAGATAAAAAGAGACTCTTAGAGAGGAAAAAAAATAATCTCAGCACGAGGATCACGTAGTACTTTTAAACGCAGGAACACTCCGCCGATGAAGACGACATCGTGGAGAACACTCCTGAGACGAAGATGAGGAAGTAAGTACTTATATTTTAAGCTCTTTACTCTCTTTATAGCGCATCCTTCATGCATGTGCTTACGCGCTTTTGCCGCTCGGATAACGCGCTGGTCGTGCAGTAAATACCATCGCATGCGATCGAAGCTGCGCGATGAAACTGTCTGTCATCTTTTTCTACTTAGTTTCGGGTGTATTACGTGGCGTATCGCGAAGCAATTGGCAGGCGCATCTGTCGAGAAAGGTATGGAAATAGGATTGAAGAATTGAACGCGAAGACTAAACGATTAATCGCGAAGTAGTTAGAAGGCATCTTCGGTGAAAAAGTGGTAATAAGATTGATAGATCCCGGCAAGAAATAAAAAGATTAAAAGTAACGTAAATGCATTCCGTACAATAAGTATGAGGGAAACCGGTTTGTTTCTTATACCGGTCGGTCTGTATACATATGATTTCTTATGAAAAGATACATCGTTTACACTATCGAAGTGCACAAGTGTATAAAATGACAAACTTTGTTTAAGCTCTTTCAATAAATCAATTTCATTCTGAAGATTTTTCTCCGATCATTTTACATCAATGCTGACGCTGGCTCACGCATGATACATTCAATCTTTTAATTCCTCGTCGGGATTAATCTTGCTTCCGTTATTCTCTCCCCGCGCCTTATATAAACCGTCGCGCGGAAGGTCCTTCGACATCCATTACGAGTGAATGATGTAAAAACACGCGATCGATCGGAATCGCGCGGAGAGCAGCTCCGCGTGTTCTCGCGTGTCAACTGATCGGTGAAACGCGGGGCGTCGTAATCCTGGGCTGGGACTTTTGCAGCAGTGGGAATAGCGGCAAGACGGTCGGCTCGAGCACGCGACGAAATATAGCGGCATTGTATCTGTCGCCGATTCCCGAACTCCCAAGCTCGACCACGTCCCCGCGCAAAAGGGTAACGTCGAAGAGCGAGCGCGCGAGTACTCCCCTTTGCCGGCCCGGGCTGATGTATCCGCTCTATCAAAGCACACCGAAGGTGACGTCGAGCTCCGCGATGTCCACGACCGGCGACAAAGCGCAGCTCGACAAGCTGCAACGCACCACCACGAGCGGTGCCGTTTCATCGTCGACGAAGCGGCCGACGAACGGCGACACATCGAGTCTGCGCTTCGTGTGCAGCGGCCTGGCGGCTGCTCAGATCGCGAACGTGCAGAAGTTCGCGCGGTTGCACAACGCCGATTACGCGAGGCAGTTCGACTCGGTGGTGACGCACGTGATCGTCAACACCAGCGGCGCGGAGAACGCGGCGAAGAGCACGCTCAAGTATCTACAAGGCATCGCGCATCGCAAGTGGGTAGTTAGCTACAAGTGGATCGAGGATTGCACCGACCAGCGCAGGCTGCTGGCCGAGGACCCCTACGAGGCGACCACGCAGAACGCCGACGTCAACGCACCCGGGCCACGGAACTCACGGCTCAGCGACAGGGATCTCTTCGAGGGCTTCACGTTCTCGTGCGTCGGCCCGTACGATAACGTCTCGTTGAGTCAATATCAGGTCAGTCCTTTTAGGCTCTCCGAGATGAAAGAGACGCGCCGGGGGTTGTTCTAATTAGCTAGGCGTGTGATTCTTTTCGGCGGTTTTTCTAATCGCCAATCCAAAAGCTTTAGGAGATTGTAAGCTTCACTGTCGTGTCTTCGGTGCGCATCAAGTAGGAGCTACTTATAAATTTGGTACTTATCAAGCAGAATTATGTTCCTATATTTATTTCGCTCTAAGTAATTATACGGTAAAAAAAATATAGAATTTTGAGATGCATGTTCCTTTATCTCATGTCTTAGGCTCTGCATTGGTCGCAATAAGCAATTTTTGAATGCGAATAATTATTCTTCATACATCATTCAACACATCGATTATACACAGAAAAAATCGATAGAATTTTCAGCAACGCGCGTAATGGGAGTAAATTTTCTTTGATTCGATAGCGATATTATTGAAACTAATACATCGTACATTGTCTCAACAATTCGTGTATTAGTGTTCGCTTCGCTGTACGCTCGGCGCCAACGACGGAGAATTTTTATTTACGCTCTCGTTCGCGCAACCGTCGTCAACCATCTCAAGCTGGAGCTCGGCCAAAGCCATCTGAAGAATATCTTCGGTTTTAGGACTTGTTACGCGCCGCCGGAGCCACGGTGGTCGACTCTTTGGAGGCTCTCGCCGCCGAGAAGAAGGGCTTGAAAGGCGTCGTGATCCAGGGCGACACTCACGACAACAGCACGATCGGTGAGCGATTGTCGTAAACGTGACGTAACGTAACCGTGTCTTCGGAGATACGCCCGCAAAATCGTGGATATTCGATATTTATTAATCTAACACAACCGGATTCGAGAGACACGCGAGGCACGTGGGAAATTCAGAGACGAATTATCCAGAGGCGTTTTCAACTTTTTCTCACAGGACGCTGGTACCGAGACGCCCGGGCGGCGCCGATTCTCATCGACTGGATCGTGGAGAGTATCGGCCACTACAAACTATTCCCGCTCATTTCCTACATTCAGACGCTATCGCCACAGGACTACTATGCGATCGGCTATCCACGGGAAATCATCGGGGACGAGGAGTACAGCGACATGTCCGAGTAACACGAGACGGTCGCCGGATCGCTCCCAGTCGCCGGCAATTCACTCATTACCTCGACAAGTTGACGTCAACGAAGTGATCGCAATAATTTCTTTAATTTTCCGTATATTGGCTGCTGAATCGCGCATTTCATTTTCCATTTTTCACTTTATTATCTGTATTATCATCGTCATCCCGTCGATAGATATCCCGTTACGCACGCGGGTTATCGTTACTTACTGTTTACATCACACGCGGATACACGATATCATAATTTATGATTTATACTTTTCTAATAAACAGTTGCCTAATCATGTACTAACGACGGCCGCCTAATCAAGAGTTCTCGTTTCTCCCTTCGCTGGAACCTTCGCCTCCCTCTCTGCCCTCCGCCGCAAATCTCTTTTCCGCACTTTCAACGACCTTCGTCTCGCCCGGCGTCATCGTTGCGAGTTTACCGTCCGTTTCGCGCGAGCGGTCGCCGCCCCGTCTTACATAGCTTTCCAATTTAGCCTCGAGAGATCTCCGAGACTGCGGTTAACGCCGTCGTGAGACGCGTCTCGAGATGTTTCGCGTTCCGCCGCGCGAGGTACACACGAAATCCATTCGGCTCGATCACGCCAGGCCGGGGCTATTTTCGCCGCGCGATGTCGTCATCCTTGAGGACGTCGCCATCGCCGAGATCGTAACGCTCGTTTGTCCGTGAGATACGTCGACGTTTTCACCCGTATATTCACCCAAACACACGTACCATATTGATTTGCCCGGGACCACCTGTAGCCGAGTCCCTTTCTCGCTCTCTCTCCCTCTCTTTCTTATCCGCTCGCGCGCCCCACGGTGGTTATGAATCCCGCCCCGATCGCGCGCGAGCTCGGCGAAACGATCGTATTCCGCGCGCGCACACATACACACACCGTACTCTTGATTTCGATATTAATATTGCAGCAAAACGCCGGATAAGGTCAGAGTTCGCGAAATTCGCGCTTTTACAACGCTCGTCGCTCGGCTACCCGCGGGCGTTGCAAGCTGCATTATACATTATATATTGTCTAATTCGCAGATAGCATAGGGCACGGCGTAAATATTCCAGCATAACGTCGGATACATTTTCCGTGATAGAGATTATAGCGCGGCGGAAGTCGCGGGATCATCGAGACGAGGTGTTTGCATCAGTCTTTTGCACTCTTGACAACGAGCCGCGGTGAGCCGGTCGAGATTAAAGCGCGTTTATTAACTCGACACTTCCGTGCTTACACAGGATGTCCGATAATTTTCTCGTGGTCCGTGGCGTGCAGGTAGGACGGATGAGACTAAACAGGAAAGTCGTGTACCGTTTTGCAAAATTCGCCATAGTTGATGAGGAATTAATTATTCTATATGAGCTAATGAACGCACGGGAAGCGGCAGGTCGGACTCTGTATAAAGAAGAATAATAGTTTACTTCTCTTAAGATCTTCCAGAAAGAGCGATAGTTAAGTAAGAAAATTCCCGAGACGTTTATCTCATCGCAATAAAGTATTATTCCCTCTATTTCGCGAACGAAAGGAAGCCCGCGTCTGCATTTGTGCGTCGAATCGTGAGAACGAACGCCAATGAATTTTGACCGGAAGGAGTTGCTCAGGATTTAGCCGTCTTCTCTGCAACATATAGAGATTCGATTATGCCTGTAACTCGCACGCACACACGCGTATCCCCAGCCACGTAACTCGGGACTGTTGAAGTTCACCATTGTACGCGGTCCAGTATACCTGTGTTTGCGAATCGTTCTCAATTGTGCAGAGCATCGAGGACTCCATTGTGTGTTTTCACGCGACGCCACTCGGCTGTGTGCGCCGCGTCCATTTGTGTCGTCTGCAGACGGTAAAATAGCGGCACATTATCGCCTTTGAACGGTTCCCCCTATTAAATTGAAAATCATTTTGACATGCGAACGAACGAAACACGTGTTCGTCGTGTCCGCGTCGCGTCGCGTTTCGAATTCAGCATCGTGGATGGAATAGCTAGTAGAGATGCCGAGATATCGTTCAAATTATATATTTGAACTACAAACTCCTCGTATTATCGTGTTGAGAGCGAGATTACAGATTTATTCTTAAATAATTACCTCGCGACAATATTATTATCGAGAAGTTTAGATACGCGATGAAAAGGAAGAGTCGAATAATAAACGATGAATAAAGGCTGTCATAAATTAATTTTCTCTCGTTTGTTAACTTCGGTTGGGATTATCTTGATTATGTACTTGCATATGCAAGAGTTACTATGTTATTCTGATGCGCGTCTGTTAAAGTTCACTACTTCTGCCAACTCAGTTTTAACGTTAGACCGTTATCTTTTTTAAGTTTTCATTCTCGGAGCTTTACTATAAATTACGCAACTTTACGGCTGCACTTCAAAAATTGAATGATCAAGAATCTCGACTTTTTTTCGTGCAATAGCCGTATAACAGACTTTATTATCATAGTAGTTCTCCACTCTAAAATCGTAAGGGCTCGCTCACGCGGTTCCTACGATAACAGAATGAAAATCCCTCGGGGATACGGCGAATAAATCACTAGGCCGTATTTGGTGGATGAAGCCGGCGATCAAACACGTGTTGATACCCGGGACCATCAATAATCACGAGCTCGGCCTCGTGGGCCGTAATAATGTTCATCAGACATGCCCACTCCATCGCGTTGTAGCCGGGTCTTCTCGTTACCGCGCCGTGTCTCATATAATAGTAATGCTCGCGCATACAGCTGCTCGCTTCACTTGCGGCTTGTTGTAGTCGAATGTAGCCAATAGCCGCCTGCGCACTTATGGATCTCGTTTAATCACTTGGTAACCGCAACGAAGTCCCGCCGTTACCCGTTCGAGCGTTTTTCATTTCGAATGCACTTTAATTACGCGCCCGCGGAATGCGATCCCGCGGACGCATTTAATCCGATAACTCGCGCAAAATGCGTATATTTATCTTTCGTCTTTTCGAAATGGCGCCCAAACATCAGCGCGTTTGTGTTACGTGTGAATTTTCCCTTTTCATCGGACTTACGGTTCGCGTATTACGCTCGGGGGAAGATCAACGTGAGAATTAATCGCGACTCCCCCCGCGGACGGATCGTGAGCTCTCCTTTCTTCGATTCCCGCGATAAATCTTTTCTTCTCGTTCCGTCGTCAAGCGCGACGGGGAAGGAGAGAGACCGTGCGTCCGAAATGCAGTATGGGGTTAAAGCGGGTTAATGCGCGACCATATCGGTGAATAATAGGGAGCCGTCGTATCCCATTAATTCACGTCTTACGCGCTCCGAGGGCGAACCGTCGGGTCCGCTTAATCGCCAAATTGTCCGTATAAATTACAATTCGAGAAAAGTGCGGCAATAACTTTCCATTACTCGGAGCGTATTACTCGCAGATCGCCGTTGTCCGTTGAAGCAGCTCGTTTTCCAGTCAAGAGATTACAATCGTAAAATAAAAGTGGATGCGCCGCCAGCTCGCCAGCTTAATGTTCCCTTGCTCCGCTTATTTCGTAATAGGAATCGCATAAAAATGAGGAGAGAGCGAGGCACAAATATCCGGCAATCGTGCTTCATAAAGCGATGTGTCACAGAGCGGAAATAATAGAAATGGAAGCGGGATTTTTATCGTATACGTTTCCCTCCCCCTCTCATCCTGCTGAAAAATCGAGTGTATCAATATATCGAGTTTCGATCCGCGATACGTTCAATGCGGCGTTATTGGATCGCGGACGGAGTCGAGTTAACGTTAATGCGAAATTTTTGCAGTTTCATAAATCGACATTAATCGAACTCGGGGCGAAATTCACTTCCTCCCTCGGGGGAATTTCATACGCATCAGGCGCGCTCTCGCTACGTCGTTGTCCTTTTAATCGCACGCTTGTCTGAGCACGTGCTCGCGATCGCCGGGAAGAACTCCGAGAGACTGCAAGAGAGATTTTACTATCTGCTACCTGCCTACATTGAAAAAACACGTTTGATATTTGCGATTATAATTGCATAGTGAAATCATTATAGTTGGATTCTTATAGAAGATGCTGTGGTAAATAATGGAGGAGAAGGTGATATTATGGCCCCCTTTTATATTGTGTACAATAAGTTTCTTATTAATTAACATTTAAAATTGAAAACTTAACGATTTCATTGCATCCATTGCATTCGTTGCGTAATCGGTCGAAAAGAAACAAGTGTGATAATGTGACCCCCCGCTAAGATAGATCTAAGAAATTGATTTTGTTTAAAAATCCCGGTGTTTTGTTATAAATTTATATATTTATTCAAAATAAGAAAACTTTGTGAAAGAACAGTAAATATAACAGCGAATCTTTAATATATTGATATAATAAGTGCTAACTCATTTGTCAGAAGGTGGATACAAACTGTATATCGGCGCGTTTCGCTATCCCGTACTTTCGTCGCGTTGCGAATACCGCGTCGAAGTAATATTCCATACCTCATGCGATAAATAACGAACAGCTCTCTCTGATGGTCCACCAGCATCAGCATCACCGCCACTGGCGAAGGCGCTGTCATCTCGCGCGAGCAATTTCACGGAACATCGTGCATGTCCCGCGGACAACAACGGATCGCTACCAGAATGCGGCGCGCAGAGTCCGATGGCTCTTTATGAGCAATTTCGCGGAAAGTGCCGTGCGGCTTTTTATCTCTGGTATCTTCGGTCCACTATACAGTTGACAGAATCGGTTCGAAGAACAAACAAGGGGTGAGGACGCAATGGAGGAAGAGCCGTTCGTCCTTTTTCCGTCACGTCGTTTTCTTTAATTGGTAGTAACAGAAGTACAAAAACCGAGCGCCGCGCCGTGACAATAGACGGTGGAAAACAAAGGCCGCTCCTCCTCGATACCGGCGAAAATTTCTAAAGGCGGCATCCGCTTTATTTCGCCCTGCGTCCACGATCCAGCAACTACCTTTCTCTCTCTCTCCGGACGGTCGCGCATAATTATCATCCCGCGAATGTCGCACGAAGAAGCCGCAGGAGTTACGGTGATATTATCTCCCGGTAATAAATGCGCGAGCCCACGTCCGTGTGAAATCCGATCTCCGCGGAACGGCGTTGAAAGTCGAATCTGGGACTCCCCAGAGCTGCGGGACTATCGTCGCGAGGTCCCGGGAGAAGGAGATGCACCGAGAGATCCCGCCGCAGTGTCCGGGGGTGCGAAATTATTCGATAATTCAGGGATCCGTAAATACACTCAATTCAAACGGGATCGCTATTGAGATTGATGATGGCGGAATCGCCTCTCCCCTTAGCTCGCCCCCTCGCCCCGGCGTCGGTCGACGAGGTCGCGTTCTTTGGAGGGCGCAGAAGTGAAGGCTGGGAAAC